TCGCCAATTTTCAAAATAGCATTTAATATGATAAAGCATTTCATATATGAAAAAATGAGGAATTTGGTAAATATTTTATACTTTTTTAACAAAGTATTTGTTCTTGATAGGGTTGTTGTAATATCTCGTAAATGATGCAATTTTGAAAAAAAAATGTCAAAGTCAAACTGATAAAATCAATAAATAGATCTTTTAAAACCATATAATTTTTATTTAAAACATTTTTTCACAATTGTTTTGTTTACATGTGATATTCGAACGTATCCAAACTTTTAGTCTACCCTTTATATGTACATAGAAAAAAAATATATATACGTCTAGAAAATTGTATCATAATGATAGAATAGATTATATTAAATTTTAGAATAGATGTGACATTAAGTAATCTTAAATTATATTTTACTATATTAAAGTCAACATTTACTTTATTAAGGTCTAGCAAGAAAAGTTGTTGAATGGATGATATATAATATTGAATAACACCTTTTTACAGATACACCTGCACTCGTCATTGCAAAGCGTAAGCGAGTATTTTCCATTAGAAGTGTTGCCCAACGAGTGTGGTGGGAAAGCAGGTCCGATACAAGAATTAATGGACACGCATTTGAAGAGGATTGAAAACTTTCGTGAATGGTTTTTGAAAGACGAAAAAAACAATCGCGTGAACGAGTCACTGCGGAGTAAAAAGCTATAGAATTTAATGATCTATCTGAAGTGAACAGCATACACGCACACACAGACTTATAACGACATTCTTATGTAATAAGATTTTATATTTAACGACAATCGTAATATGTAATAAGATTTTATATTTAACGACAATCGTAATAAAAACAAAGCATTAATATTTCTTATATTGTCTATAAAGTGTCTTATAATCAACAAATTACTTATTTACGGGACATAAATACCAAGCCCAATTATTGTAAAGGAAAATATTTATTAAAAAAAAAAAATTACCTAATTATTTTAGATAATTTTGTCCAATTATTACAAATAAAAAGATATAATATTAGAAACTGGCAGATTGATATAAATGATTATTTCCTTTGATAATCCTTTTGAAGTAAAAATCTACTATAATCTAGCTAACGAATACGCAATTAAAAAGATAACTAGTGAGTTCCAATATATTATACATTATACGTAAAATCATGTTAAATAAATAAAAATGAAAGTAAGTTCAAATAAAATAAAATAAGTGAGAGAGTAACATAAGTCGTACAATTTAACGAGAACATAAAAAATTCATATTACACATCATCTTTTTGCAGCTGGATGGAAAAAAATATGACTACTTTAATTAAATAATTAATTCTTACTTTACATCATTCTTACTTTACAATTAAATTTTTTACATCGGCAACTTTATCCTTTTGTCTTTTTCGCTCATCAGGCAGCATTAATATTTTTTGTCAAAAGTGTTCTAGAATGATATACAATAATATGAAAATGTATGCAATAATATTAATATTCTCTAAGGTCTATAAAAATTGATGCTATTGCTGACTTCTTCAGCAACTGTATTTGAATAAACCGAAAGGGCAGAATTGTTAGCGATTGAAAATGTGTAAACACTCTTTGCACACAAATCAACTAAAAGCAACTATGTGATTACATTTTTACAGAAAGAATTAATGAAATTAAATGTACAAATGCTAGCTTTAATACGTTTCTAGAGCAATTAATGCAGATTATTGAAATGACCTATTGGAAAAAGGGACGTACATACGTCATGTAAGTATCCAACATAAAACCATTATTATTACTATTTTTGCAACGTGCATAAAATATCTATGTCAAAAAACGTTGAAACAATTGGCTATAAAAATCTCAATGATGGAGAAGATCAATATGTCAAGGTAAACATCGAGAAGAATACGGTGCAATCATATTTGATATGGCAGTAACAGTATACCACCATCGTTTAAAAGCGACAGTCAGGTTCGTTCCTTGCTCTTCTCTCACAGAGAAAATTGTCGCTGATCAAGTAAACTTATTCGCACTACTATCACGGAACTTGACAAATATTTATTAACAGCAGTTAATTTCCATCAAGACGGATAATTGAAACTTTAAGAAATTAATAAACTCATCTGTGACAGTCGTCGAGATAAATCAGTCTTGTGACGGTGAAGTGTGAGAGAAGCTTTAAAGAAAAGACGAGTCCTGAATAATGACTTCAATAAAATGCATTACTCTGGAAGAAGAACTGAAGAAAAATCCAGAATTAAAGTTATCGGATATACAGATTCTGAGAGAATGGTGCGAAAAACAGCCACATTTGCCGAAAATACAGGACGTGGAGCTCGCCATATTTTTATACTGCAATTACTATTATATAGAGCGGACAAAGAACATGATCGAGAACTATTACACTTACAGAACTCACGTGCCGGAACTATTTTCCAATCGGAACGTACTGAAAATGAAACAATTACGAGATGCTTTCAAAATCGGGTGAGCATAAAATTTCTTGACATTGATCATTAAACAACTTAAACATATACATACGCGACTTGTTATTCGTATAAATGCATTACATAGTTTCATTATAAATTTTGCCACTCAAATTTCAACAATTTCCTAGTTTTATAAAATTAGAAATGGCAACGCAGCAATTACTTTGCAATTATGTTAGAACAAATACAAGCTCATTCGTTACAACCCAGCTAACAAAAAGACGTTGAAATGATGTGACTCTTTCGTAAACGTCGTTAATGAATTGTGGATCGACGCCATTTCGACCTGTTCATATCGACATGTTCACCATTCTGCCAATGTGGCGGATTTGACGATTTGCATTGAACAAATTATATACAAAAATAAATCTTATTATATAAAAAAATTAATCTTACATTTCATTCTTTTTAAACATTAATAACTGTATCGAATTCTTTACTTATACTATTCGCGTTCAAAATGTTGACGCAATTTATGCCAGACTATACATACATATTAATTTTACGAAACATAATGAAAATATAAATTTTTGTAAAAATAATTTACATCATATTCAATTCAGTCAAAACGGATTGTAAGGATAAATTATAATAAGTTAAGATTGCTAGTGCTTTAGACATAAAAGGAATATTTTCAGATAATTTACTAATAGTAATACTGTGTAATTGCTTTACTGATTTGAATATCTAATGTAAAATTTATGTTAAATCTTTAGGCAGTTATAATAATATGACTGAAATTAATAAAATCTCTTATAAATGACTATATTGTTGTTAAAAAGGACTCACTTAGTACTAGAACATGAGGAATATGGCATAATGATACTACGGCTAGTTGATATGGATCCTTCACATTTTGTCCACAATGAATTGATAAAAGCCCAAATTATGTCGTACGACGAATTTCTTTGGACTCGTGGATTGAAGAAAAGATATATGTGGATTTTCGATGCCATGGGCTTCACAATGGGACATATGACGCGTTGTAACCTACCATCATTAAAAAAAATGATGTACTATATCCAAAATGCTGCACCAGTACGCACGTTGGAAGTACACATAATAAATACATCGTCAATAGTCGAACAAATATTCAACATGATAAAGCCTTTCATGAATGAGGAAATGATAAATTCGGTAAAAAAAATTCTTTCAACCGTTTTAACAAATTATTTCTCCTCAATAAAATTATTGTTCCGATAATGAATCATTCATTCAGCTTCCCCCCCCCCCTTCCCGCCTTCCAATAAATTGAAATTTCTGCTCAGAGGAACAAGCTCAAAATTTTTGAATGGCGGGAATTGAGAGTTCAAAAACAACTTGTATTTCGAAACTTTTCGTTTTTCAATTTTCCTATGGTGGGATGTTGGAGAAAGGCGGGGGAAGGGGAGAACGAACAAGAGTTATTTTAAATGTTTTCATACTAAATTAATATATATTTGTATATTAAAGTCTTCCAAGGAATGCTATACTGGTCTATGTGGGGACTAAAATTGTATTTTATTAGTAACTTCTAATGGTTGGCCATGTACGCTTAATATTCTACATTTGAACTTTCCTTTATTAACTATTCAAATTTCGTTCACATCTAAGTTTTCAACTTCGTGTGGTCTCCTTGTAATTAATGTTTTTTTACAGGTACACTTCCACACATCATTGCAAAGCATAAATAAATACATTCCAATAGAAATATTGCCCGACGAATTTGGTGGGAAAGCAGGTCCGATAAAAGAATTAATGGACGCGCATTTGAAGAGAATCGAGAACTTTCACGAATGGTTTCTGGAAGACGAAAAGAACCATCGCGTGAACGAGTCACTGCGGATCGGTAATAACAAGACATCTAGTGATTTATTCGGCGTGGATGGTACTTTTAAACAAATCGATTAAGTCAATTTTGAGATATGTAAGTATCAAGTAGTGCTAAATCAATAACATAGAAAAGAATTTTGGAAAATGTTCCTAGATATTTATTTCTTTAAAAAAATAATTTATATCTTGGAGCTTTAAAGGAATATACAAGTGTTAAAAATAAACGGTAATCACTTGTGACCAGTCCTATAATACTATAGCGTCTTATATTTGTAAGGTATAATGGTAAATAAATATGTATATGGTCCAAAATCCTTATAGAAAAGTAATTCTGGTAATCCGTGGCATCCGTATGCTACCAGAATAGTGGGAAAAGATTATAGAAAATGGTGATTGTATAAAAGATTAATAAAGAAATGTTATATACCAAATTACTGCTTAAGTCTTAATAATAAATCGGACACAAACTTTTGCAACCACCCAATACATTAAACTTTATTTAAAGCTTATCATTCAAAGTTCATTTAAAATTTATAATCGGTAATAAAAAAAAAGACATCGAATTCTTGTTGCTATAATTTTTTGTATTTGGTATACGCTGCTTTAATTAGAGATTTCTAGATTGATGTATCGGATATTTTCACAAGACACGTGATAATAAAAACGCGTGATAATCAATAGCTTTTATCTATCACA